ACGGCAGACGAAGGCATGGAAACAAGAAGGGTCTCTCGATTAAGTGAATATCTTCTGTAGGTAAATTAAGTTTTCGCCTCATTATTGTCAGCTTACAACCCGGATCTGACGTTGTGGGTGACGTTGAGCCTTGTAAGTTATATATATATATACATATATAAATGTCTTTACTACACTTACTCATACATTAGGTCAAAATGCTAGTAAAGTCTAGAATAACATGTTACATATTATAGTGTTTTTGTCATAACCTGATTTATAAAATGTTCAGCAAATGAGCTTTTTTGACATAGTGCTATTTTGCACAAAGTTATTTTGCCAGAAAAAAGTTTTAATACTACTTAATTTGGATATTTTTTCTTGCCATACTCTATAATTTGATTAAATTTGTCATTACTGCAACTCATGCTTTCTAGTCTGTCTGACGAATAAGTCAGTAGGCTTTGAATGGAATAAAGCTGGTCTTTGAAATGAGATTCGCCCTAATGTTTTCCCTAAACACCAATACGACCCAATTCACATGTCATCAGCAGTCAAAATCGTATATCTAGGCTTAGACATACAACCTCCGGAGTTCACCGCTTGGCATAGCTTTGAATAGCTCTTTCAGCTCGCCTGTGTAGCGGTCATTTATCCCCATAACTCAATGCTTCTACTTTGCGCTATCGGTAGAATAATTAGCAGTGTTAGAAAATATTTAGATCCAAGATCATTCACTCTAACGTTTGGTAGTTTATTTCCACTTGACTCAATGAGCAATGGCCGAAGTGGCGGCAACTTGAATTTACTACCCAAAATTACCTTTCGGACAAGATCCTGGCTGTTTTACGGAAGAAATTATTGCCTACTGCACTTTAACATCAAATTTAGTTAATTTACTAAATAATTGTGAAAGATTGGTCATGTGTTATTTGTTATTTGCCTTTCTTTAGCAGGTCCGGTTTCAGGAGGAAGAAGCCGACTTCATCTTCTTAAATTGGGCAGTGGCCGACAAAGTCGGGACACGATATCAACCCACACGACTGGGTCGACCGCCGGTGCCATATCCCCCGACCCCGCCGTGGCTACAGCCCCGACTTCCTCGGCAAATGCATGTCTTACCCCAGATTGTGTATCGGTAGGCGCGTCTTCTGAATGTCTCGGCAGCTCAAGCAAAGCCAACAGAAGCAACAACGCGCTCTCCTTCTCTTCCCTAGCAACGGTGCTGCTGGCTCTTGTCAATGGACAGCGTCACATTCCCCATCGCGACAGCCGGCTTGCCCAACTGCTTCGCGGAGTGATGGGCAGCCTCAAATGCCGGACCTGCTTTGTAATCCATGTGTCACCAAGTCCCACGCACTACAATGAAAGCCTACAGGTAGCTAGTCCATAATCTTCCCTCATGATTGTCCATTTAAATATTACATGTAAAACCGAGAAGATTAAATTTCATAAATTCGCATACTGTCGATAAACGTATCAATTTAGATACCAAATAAAAAATAGCTCGCATGTGTAAGTCATGTTGACACTGGAAGAAAGAGGATAAAAGACTTTTATGTTACTGTATTTATTTTCATTTAACTTTAATCTATTTCTCCTGTTTTTCATATGTATGTCGTCAATAGCAAACCTCTTCTTGCCTCGTGATAAAGCACCACCTTAGTTAACTTTTAAACCACATCTACCTTTCGAAGATATGTAGACCAAGATGGTGTGACCTTTTGGGTGGTCGCAGTCTCCTTACGTTGTATAGAAGTTGTTTGACCTTGTTTTCAAAACTTGGCTTAGAGGAGCACACCCAGTCCGGAGTCCATTGTATGCATAGTCATTTCCGGTCCGACTTTGGAAATGATCTTGCATACAATGGACTCCGGACTGGGTGCGTTCCTCTAACCCTTCCTACCAATATGACCAAGTAGCAAAAACAAGGTCAAACGACCTTTATACATCTACTTTTTTTATCCCAATCTAATTAACATTGAGCTGACACAAGGTAGACTTATTCGTTGCCCAATGATATAGACTTGAAGCCTTCGAGAGTTGATGCACCTCAATTTCACTTTAAGTTCTCATGGTAGATCGGTTCATAACCAATTCATTACCAATTGAGGTTTTGCACTGCACAGGCTTTCTCAATAGACCCCATATAGTTGTGTTTGTATCCTTTTGCTTTACTAAAATGAAAAGAGATTGAGATTATTTGACTGGCAAAATATTAATGGCTCTTTTTTTAGCTAGTAGCAATATAACAGTCTTGGATAATCTAAAGTGGCCTTCCCCTATTGCTTGTTTAATGCAAGTTCTTGCTGAATACCCAAACCACCCACAATAAAGTGTACAACCATTTTCTATGTTCGCTTGACTGTGTGACAAGTGAATTAGGAATTTGTGCGGGCTATCAACGAATCATAATAGTGGGATTGTTTTTGTGCATCCCATACTGAGCCCTTTTTACAGCCACCTGTAGTACACTAGCACTTTCCTTATGTCGCCCTCTGATGCTGGGCAGATGTGCATTTCAAGAAGCGTCAGGCATTTTCTCATATCATATTCTGTGATGTGAGTACCAATAAAGCAAAGTTATATATGATACAGCAATCGACTATATTACTTATTTTTCGATTATAAGTAGGTTTTCGAGACTAACAGTAGAACATATATGAGATGTAATCACCTTATTATG